ATCTTGGATCTGTAACCTTTTATTTAGACCTTTTAACCCTCCGCAGTTGACTGTTAAAAACTTGAGATGCTCGGGTTGACAGGAAGAGGATTCGAAACAAAATCTTTGTGATGACTTCTTGGTTGGGGCAGGCGTACTATAATAGTAAAATCTTCAGATTGAAACGATGAAGATAGAGATTCAAATGGGTTCGGTGTAGATAAATCCGCAGATATGGAAAATGAGCTCGAGAAATTAGGCATTCCACAGATGCAGCAAATCCAAGAACATGAGCTATTGGCTAAAGCATTGTAGACTTCATCACTAATAGCACAGCAACGTGTGTGATACCACGAATCGCAGTTGTCACATGTATCATATTCATTGTAAGATTTAAATATGCACTGGAATTGGCATCTTATCTATATTAATCCATTATTTCTCGTTATGATTCTTCAAGATATCATTTAATTATCACTAACTTTTGATGCTATCAATGGGCATTTCTCTTTGGAATGCAATACTTTATGGAATTTGTTATGTCGTTATGTATATGCTATTGCTTGAAGTCAAACCCACATACCTAGCTCTTGTAATTGTAAATTGGAGAAAAATTGAGACTGTTGAAATCTACTATTAATTTACACTTGTCTATAAATTCATCGCGCTACATGAGCTGCGATTTTTGTGTGGCAATTTTAGCGCACGTGTAAACAGCTTGTTTTGATGGTCAGCGGTTTTAAAATGAATGTAGCCACCGCTGCTTCTATCGGAAGTCAATTCAATTTATGTCTAAATTTGATTTTCAAAGTGGTATTGAAATCGTTTTCAATTTACTAGAAGATATACTAAGCTATCAATGATGTTTTCAATTTGTTTGTGCCGAAACTATAAGATTGAAGCCACACTGAGGCGCTATTTTCACTTGTTGTATGTTGGATGACTGTGAAATCATATACCTTCGAAGCGCTTCACTGAAGCTCAGAGGTTAAAAAACTGAATGAACGATATCTTGAGAATTCATGACGAGAAAATAATGGATTAATTCAGGTAAGATGCCACTTCAAGTGCACATTTTAATCTTTTGATTTTAAATTACAATATGCAAGACATTTAAAAAAATAACGTTAACATGTTCATCTCTTGTAGCTTTGATATCTCAATGACAACTTAAAAAGTGGTAATATCCATGAAATGTAAATTATAAATGATTCCAAAACGGCTTTTACGAGTTCATAAGTAGTTTTTTAGTTATCAATTTTTTGATATCTTTGTTGAGTATATTTAACGAAATTGTTACAAGGTCGGTTAGTTTGGAAGTCTGTCATTTAGCAAATATTTAAGTGCCCAAAATTTTGAAAGTAGGTTTTGGTAGACCTAGGATAGAATAGTACTGGACGTAGTTTTGGTTTCAAACAGAGCGTTACCACCAGAGATACAAGACACCAAAGTTACCCAAAATTGAGCATTTAATAAATATTGAAAACCTCAGTGTGTTGTAAATTTCATTATGGAATAACCATGGCAACCAGACCAAAGAAAAGTATCTCCAACAAAAGTCCAAGGATGATTCTTTGCTGTGATATAGCAAAAGAATTGTGTTGCAAAATTGTTTAATAKTAATGMTGGCCTAAAAAGBTACMWATTTAMARCTGTTTTGGATCAAAAATGACCCAAAATAGTGGGGGTGGTTGCCATGGAAACGAAGGCCCCCCCGACCTTATGATACCGATTTTTCTTTATAGCCGGGTGCTCAAACTTGTATGGAAAGTGTCAGGAAAATCGAATTTTTGAGATGGCCAAGATTTTTCGAAAATGTTTGATATTTACAGAAACTCACTCTTAAAATATGAAGGATTTTGATTTTTCATCATGTGTCACGTATTCTCGATTTTGCTCGGTTTTAGTGGACATTCGCTCTTAATACTCAATACGAAAGCGATTTTACTTTTGTTTGTCATTTTAGAGAATTACTGAATTTCCCTAGCAACGGATATGTCAGTACACCCTTAACAGATGTGTGCACTTAGATAGCGTGTCTACAACTTCTCTAACTTTTTCTATCGTAAAGACTGCGAGACCTTTCGCAAATAGTTGTGAGTTCCTCAAGGTGAAAATAAAGATTAGAAATAAATGAATTTCCTTAAAAACCACACTGGCAAAATAARATACAAACACAGACAAATTAAAAAGTTTTGAAACATGGAAAGTTTTCGAGGTCTTCAAGACTTAATGTTAGGTAAACATCTAATCCAGTTATCAGTTCATATTGATAATACTGAAAAACGTTATTATTACCAAAGGGGACAAATGAACACTGATTTTGAATAAATGTATTGATCTCATGGTCACTTTGGTTTGATATAATAGGTAAACATCCAAAGTTGTACATTCAATCTTGATGGGGGTACGTATCGAGTGTATACGTTGTAACAGATCTTTAACGAAGTTTTTTCGAGTTTTCAAGCATCTGGAATTACGGCCTTAACTAACTAAGGCGGCCGAGTAGATGTAATTAATTGTGTGGCTCTCAGCTTCTACGATCGAGGGGGCGAGTGGAAACGCGTTCCTTCGCAAAGAGAAATTAAAGACTGTTTTGTCAAGTAATGCAGCGAAAATGAACACCACCGACAAACACGAAATGAAAGACTGTATGGACAGCGGTCGTCGGCCAACATGGCGACTCATTTCAGGGCTCCAGCAATTTTGCTCCTTTTTGCTGTTTATGTCTATTTTTTGCTTTTCAAACTGGAACAAAACGGCAATTTATCAATCCACTGCTTATCCTGTTTCGATATCTCGGGCGTCTTTACTGAATGTTAACTCAAACTTTGCAAGCTTCTACCATGACTCAAGATCCACACGATCGGCCATCTTGGAGAAATTGATATCCTCGAAATTCACCAACCCAGGTTTGAATCTATTGTATTATGTGGCGCTGTGGCACCAAATCCTGGCCCAATTTGGAAGCATTCATGTGGGGTTTGCCGTAAACCAGTCAAAATCAATCAGAAAGGTCTCCAATGTGACAACTGCGATTCGTGGTATCACACACGTTGCTGTGCTATTAGTGATGAAGTCTACAATGCTTTAGCCAATAGCTCATGTTCTTGGATTTGCTGCATTTTCCATATCTGCGGATTTATCTACACCGAACCCATTTGAATCTCTATCTTCATCGTTTCAATCTGAAGATTTTACTATTATAGTACGCCTGCCCCAACCAAGAAGTCATCACAAAGATTTTGTTTCGAATCCTCTTCCTGTCAACCCGAGCATCTCAAGTTTTTAACAGTCAACTGCGGAGGGTTAAAAGGTCTAAATAAAAGGTTACAGATCCAAGATSTAGTTGTAACTCATAATCCAGATGTTATTTTTGGAACTGAATCCCACCTGGACCCAACCATCAACTCCGCTGAGATTTTTCCCGACCAATATGATATCTATAGAAAAGGTAGAAACATCCATTGTGGTGGAGTCTTCTTAGCAATCAAGAAAAGTATATTCTATTCTATTCCATTCAACTCGTTTGACTTCGACTGTGAAGTATTCTGGCTCAACCTCCTTGTTAACGGCGGAAACCCCATGTTTATTGGAGTGTTTTATCGTCCTCCAGATAGTAACATCCTGCCTTTGGAAAACCTTCAGTCATCACTCGACCTCATAACCAGTGGTAGCAACCTCCCAAATATCATCTTATCTGGTGACTTCAATCTTCCTAGCATCGATTGGAACACTTACTCTGTGTCCCCAAATCCCCAATATGGTACCAGAGTAAACAACGATTTCCTTGATATCATTAATTCTTCCTCCCTTAGCCAGTGCCAGCTGGAACCTACTAGAGGACCCAATGTCCTCGACCTTGTATTTACTTCAAACACTAACTTGTTTACAGATTCCTCAGTACAACCTGGGATAAGCGACCATGATGCTGTCTTATTTCACATCAAATCCAGTATCAAGGTATTTAAAAGGTTAGTCATAAAATCTACCTATATGACAAAGGAAACTGGAATGGTCTTCAGGATCTTCCATGCTGTCTTAATATTCTTCTTAACTTGATCTGATATACCGCTTACGATTGAAATACGATTTTATATTCGATCACTTCAGCATTATTTTAACTATATTTTTTAATCCCGAATCGCCATAATTTTGCCGTCTCATTCTGACAATTCTATATTCACATCGTTATTATGCTTAATAAGGCGCTGTTTTCCTGTCATATGCTCTTTAAAGCAGATTTTGTAGAATATATTTGAAAGCGTCGCCTGAAGGTAGCTTTTTGTTCCCATTAGTATTAAGTCGGTTCATGAACGAAAAACGTCAATAAGTGTAGGTCAAGAAGGTTCTTTTCTTTAAACATTTCGCCGAATGTTCAATGTTTATTATGACCTTTCGATCAGGTCAAATTTATTCAAATTTCACAGAATTTTGCATATTTTGAATGAACTAGAAGCTCTTAGAGCGCGAAGTCGTGCTAGCTATTTTGAAAAATTAAGACAGACAGGGTAAGCTCAATAACTTAGTATAAATTATGTCGTTCGCACAATTTTTTTTTTTTTGCCTAAATAATATTATTCTAACATAAATAAAACGTCTCTTACCTTCCTAGTTGAAAATCTAGGTCGGAAATCAAGGTCGGAAACTGCACGCAAAGATTTCCAACAGTAACTCTACTTGCACTCGATTTTTTTGTCAAAATCCATACTTTTATCCATGACATTTAACTGATCCACAATAAACATGAATGTCCAAGGATTCTTTTGAAGCTCTTCGTCAATGAATTGCTTGTCGGGAAGTTATTTTTATCGGCCGTTGAATTCTAATATTCGGACTAAAGTAATGCTGACTATAACTAATTTGGTCCGGAGGCACAGGGGTCCCAAAAGAATAGAGTATTCTCAAATTGGATTGGCTTATTTCTAACAAAAGGCAATAAACACTTTAAATCTACGGGGGACATTGCTCAACAATTGCGAGACGAGACGGGGGAGGGTAAAATCGAAAGCAACCGATAGGACGTCAGCCGCTCTCGCAAGGAAAACTTGCTCTTCATACTTTAGTCTCCTCCAAAAAAATATATTGTACTGGAATACTCCAGTTTCGAATTCATAGCGCAAAACCGCTGCTTTATTTGACAACATATTATCTTGCGCAAAGACCTTACAAACACAAAAGAGAGCACGAGAAAATGTCGTTATTACAATAGACTCGAAAATATGAATTTTCCCCGAGTTGAGACTAACCCTGTATTCCCATGAGACTAAAGTTATGAGCCTTCTGGGAATACAGGGTTAGCCTCAACTCGAGGAAAACGTAAATTGTTAGCGTTATTGTACAAGCAACATTTTCTCGTGCTTTCTTTTGTGTTTGGTAAGTTCTTTGCGTAAGAGAATCTGCTGTCAAATAAAACTGCGGTTGTTCGCTTTGAATTCGAAACTGGAGTATAGTCATGGTAAAATCCTGTAACTAACATAGTAGAGCTCATTGAGTATCTTTATGTTATCATACAGTCTCGATATCAAAGCTCATCAAAGGACTTGTGGAAGTTGGAATTGACAAAAATCTTCTTGGAAACAGAAGAATTATATTTCCACAGCTCGTTGCTAGACAACCCGATGAAGAGGATAGCGACTTGTCAGACAGTCAAAACATTGACTCGTCTGAAATTCAAGAAAGTGACAGTGAGGAGGAAGGAGAAGAAGGCGAACAAGAAAATGATGAGCTGTCAGCAAGCCCAGAATCGAGTATTGACAGCGGTTCAGACTACCATGTTGAAGTTGAAGTTGTCATATATGTTTGTCGTGACTTCAAACAGTTCTATACTCAATGTCGTACAATGCATCAAATGTTTATGACGTGAAGGGTATTACTGTCGTGATAATCAGCTGATTGAATTCGATATTTGTTGTCACATCTTTCCAGTGGATTCTCATACTAGGAAAGCCAAATTTATTCGGGTGTGAAGAATGTGATGCCGTTCATTAAATATCGTTAAAATAAAAAAACTTGAAACTCATTGATAATCATGTTAATAAAAAACATCCATAAGGCAGAATAAATCCCCTCGTTTGGATTAAATAAAAGAGTTTTTAACCAGTAAACATTATCCGTTTATAGTGTTATTGTTTTTCTCATCGTACAATCAGAACTTAAGTCATAATTTTGATTAATATGGAGCAGTTGTATTGTCTGTATAAGTATTTGCATTTCTTTTGTTGCATTAAATGAAACTAGACTCATAGCTGCTAACTCTGGATTCTGCTTGATAAAAATATAATCTAGCAGTGAATCAACATATTGAAGGCCATGAAGGGGTTAAATGGGACTGGGATTTTCCTGATTTTTGCCTGGGAAGATGAGATTGGATGCACTGAAAATGGATTTTTGTCTGCTGGGAATGGGAAACAAAATATTGAATAGGAGTAGTTCAGCTCGCTGTTTTCAATCCTCATACAGATCGCTCGCTCATATTGTATATATTACTTATAAAGCATGAAAACTGCTTGTCATAGTATTCTGTTTTTTTATGAATATGAAGACCCAGTTTGCACCATTATGCTTTGCGCGCCCCTGTTATTGTTATGATTTACATCAAAATACTTCTAGTATCGAAATATCACCATAAAACGAATGTCAGATGGTTGAAAACTCTAATATTAGCGTTTAAAGTGCTTAGAAATGTGAGATGGTATCAAAGATTCGAAACTCTTAATACAATCTTTAGACTTTCAGTAAACTGAAAATGGCCGCCTCCAGATAACCACATAAAACAATAAAAAAGAGAAACATTCATTTTAGGTTTTATAGAAGTTGATATCTGCATAACAACAATATAAACTTTGGACATCACTCCTGTTGACAATACTCTACATTCTGATTTCTCTTTTTCAGGGTCAAGGGAACTTCATTTTAATTTGAACAAAAATATCCCTCCTCACTTAA